GAAAATACTTAGATTTTGCTTAGTCCAAATGAGTCCCCCTCATCTAATCCATAATTTTCTGATCACAGATAAATGGGAATACATTAATTTAGGTTGTGCTTTTTTTATTTTATTTGCTGCTCCTTCACAGTAATATGTGGAATAATTCCCTGTGTCACTGTTGCAAAGTTATAAAGGTTCAAAATTAAAGGAGCCTCTTCAGCCATTTTTAACTGACCTATGCATTTCGTCATGATACTTCTTAAATATGGTTGAGCATTGAGCTTGTCCCAGATGCCTATGACTCCGTAAACAAGCTACGTAAATATTTCTATCTCTGTTTTCCATTTGTATCCTCAAGCCATCAGGCTTATATACTATAGGTCTTGAAGTTTTGTTTTTTGTAAGACTGTACCCTTTTCTGAAACTGAGATAGTCAGATAAAGGCTTTTCATCTTTTGGTGTTTGTTTGCTTGAATCTCAACTAGAAACTGGAATATTCCCTTTGATATTCTACATACAGTATTGGTAAAGTTCCCAGAATCTGGTTACAGTGTATAGCCCTTACACTGTGGTTCACTAAAAGTGTTAATTAAAAGAAATCAGAATTCTCAGTTTAATGTTGTGGAGATTTGCCACATTATTGCAAACCTTGTCTTTCTTTTCTTAAAATTCAGTTTTCTTTCCTTAGTCTTAGTGTGGAAAAAGACAGGCTATTAAATTATAAATGCTTCACACACATAGCTAAAAAAAAATACTTTAATGGAAGGTAGCTGGTACCTAATGTGTCTCTCCACAACTCTTCTCTTCCAGCATGTAGAGTATTTAAAATTTAGATTTTTTTTCCCCAAGAGAACATCTATTATTGCCTGATATCTACAGTAAGTGCGGTAAAATATCACCTGATGTCTGTGATAATAAGGGTGACAATTACTCTAGTCTACCTTGTGAATTGAATATGGATCAAAACTGCTAGTCAGTAAGATGGAGAGAATTCTGGTTCTGGCTCAAAATCAAGTCTTTTTTTCTTCTGAAGGACTTACCACAGGGACTGAAGACAATAATGGAAATTGCTATAAACTTTGCATCTTTTAAAAAATATACTGTATATACAATGCCAAACCTTTCATGGCTTCTGTTGGAAGTTTCCTAGATATCAATCTGTAGTAGAATGAATAACCTGGGGAAAACACACTCGCTTGAAGAAAAGGGCTAAAAGAATTATGCTGTTGTTGTTTTCACAGCTTTATCATCTGAGATTAGCAATAACTCACTGGCTCTGCAGTTGCACTCTTTATCTCACTCAATGGGGAATTTCATATTTCTTACACCCTGAGTCTTTCAGATGAGGCTTGTACCTGAACGGACAGGTAAAACAGCTGTCCATATTTGTTGTGGTTGCTTTTTTTCTTGCATTTATTTCTAGCATAGTGAAGGATCGCTAGTTTAGAAAAAGGCCCAGGAATCTTGGATTTCCAGAGGAATAAACGATTGATTCTTGCAGAAGGGCCTCTGATGACAATGCATTTAAAGGATAAACTCTGTACCAGCTTCAATGAACAATGAGACAGAAGTCGACTTGTGGGATAATATGCAGTTAAGCTTTTAATGGTGCTATGGATATGAATAATGCTAATATTCTTTCTCTAAGGCAGAGTTGCGGTGGCATCCTCACAGTGGACTACTAGGGCCTTAAACAGCTTTAAGGGTTGGTTAAGACACTTGATATACCTGCAAGGAGAGTGGTGTATGCAATTTCTTTTCACAGTTACCAGAGGTATCCTAATTGAAGAAGCTGTGACACTTAAGCACAAAGTTACCTCTGGTGTGGAATAAGGCTACATGAAGGGTGCTACACAGCTTCTAAATTAGGAATTTTTTAACCCCGTTACTCAAGGAAGAACAGCATAGTGGTGGAGTGGTTAGCACTACTGCCTCGTATTCCTGGGGTCCTTGGTTCAATTCCTATCTGCATGAAGGTTGTACACAAAGTTCTCCGTGTGTTTGTGTGGGTGTTCCATTTCCCTCCCACAGTCCAAA